AGAGGAAGGTGCGACAAAGAAGGCCCAAGACGATTGAACAGTTAGAGTTAGAGCATTCCTATTTGTAAACTTGAGAAACTGGTCTCCTCTGTCCCCAGACGTCTGTTGAGTGTTGTAAGAAGAAGGGGGGATGCCACACAGTGGTAAAAATGGACTTGTCCCAACTTTTTTGGGATTTGTTGATGCCATGAAATTAGGAAACAACAGATTTTTCCCTTAAAATGATACATTCTCTCAGTTTAAACTTTTGATCTGTGATTTGTGTTCTATTCTGAATAAAATATTAGATGTTGGCACCTCCACATCATTGCATTCAGTTTTTATTCACAATTTGTTTAGTGTCCCAACTTTTTTGGAATACAGTTTGTATGTATAGGTATATGTATAGATAGATGTTTGTATAGATGTATAGATGTATAGATGCATAGATGTATATATAGATGTATAGATAAATGTATAGATAAGATGTATACAAGTATAGATGTATAGACAGATAGATGTATAGAAGTATAGATAAATGTATAGATAAGATGTATACAAGTATAGATGTATAGACAGACAGTCATGCACTTACCTAAAATTTTCCACTAGTGATGGTCTTAACTGCAGAATCACACACCTAGAAAAAAAAACACATAAAACAGCTCATGAGTAAAAGGAAAATTAAGTTGTGCAAATAAATAATCATTTTAGTAAAAACACTCAGGTTGAACAAGCTGAAATGTCGTGGTGTAAGCAGCAGCTGGTTGAATCTATTGTTCCAGTTGTCTACTTTAAGAAAGTTAGCATTAAAGTGTAGCTCTAACAACTAAAGTGAAACACTAAGTTTTCACTGCAGGGGATAAAATTCTGAACTGATAATTGTGAGTGAAATTTCTATTTCTGGTGTTGTGAATGTCCTACATTCTGTTTAGATGCAGGTAAGGGTGGGGGTGGAATGATTTTTTTTTTTTGTCTCCAGGGCCCAAAGCTGTGTATTCGTCTTGCTGAAGAAAGCTTTTGTTCTGATAAATTGACAGTGTCAATTTCCCACATTGCCACAGTGTGGCATATACTACAGGGAGCAGTGGTGGGAACACAGGCGCTACATAGGATTGGCATCACTCAACCTGACAGTTCTGTTTTTTATTTTCTTAAGGGGGGGCTTATTTTTTCTAAATCTGAACTTCTAAGTCGAGGAAGCAGGAAGGAATAGGAATTAATACACCTACACGTTCCTTTTCCCTTTGGAAAGAAAAGAATCTTTGTACTCGCATCATAATTACTGGTGGGCGCCAGTTTTGGATTGTTATACTTTTCCACCCCTCCAAGTTGAAAACAATATTTTGAGGACGTGCTGCTAACAACTAGGTCTTTTCTCAACTTCACTTTTTTTTTTTTTTTCACCCCCATCGTCTTAATTTTAAGCAACAAATACTGCTTGGTCTGTGCTCTCCATTTTCAGACACACTGGTGTGTGCGAGCTTACACTGGGGAACGTATCCCAGCAAAGCAGCTGCAGCCAAGACTCGATTTTGACTGAAAAATAAAGAACTAGCTCTTTTCAAGTAGTCTCAATCAGATTTTAATTACAATAAAACCTTTATTAAGTGCATTTTTCAACTAGATCTAGTTTTGTTTTTGGATTTTTTTTTATATATAGATCAAATGCATGGGCGGCACTGTGGTGCAGTTGGTAGAGCTGCCGCCACTCAGCAAGCAAGATGCCGGTTCAAATCCCGGCCGGGGGCCTTTCTGGGTGGAGTTTGCATGTTCTCTCCGTGCATGCGTGGGTTTTCTCTGGGTACCCCGGTTTCCTCCCACAGACCAAAAAAGTGCATGTTAGACTAATTGATAACTCTGAATTGTCCCGAGGTGAGAGAGTGAATGGTTGTTTGTCTCGTTTGTCTCTATGTGTTCGTGTGATGAACTGGAGGCCTGTCATGGGTGTCCCAGTGATGGACTGGAGGCCTGTCATGGGTGTCCCAGTGATGGACTGGAGACCTGTCCAGGGTGTCCCAGTGATGGACTGGAGACCTGTCCAGGGTGTCCCAGTGATGGACTGGAGACCTGTCCAGGGTGTCTCTGCTTCTCACACAGTGACTGTTGGACATGAGCACCAGTGACCCCCATGACCCGAAAAGGAAGACGCGGGTAGAGGGAGGGAGGGAGGGAGGGAGGGAGGGAGGGACGGACGGACGGACGGACGGACGAAACTCATAGTTTGCCGCTCATTACTTCTGAGTTTTCTGTTGTACATTTTCTGTAAGACGCAATGTTTCAAAGTTATTGTATTTTTTAGTAAAAATGTTCAGAATAATAAAAGTATGGTATTTTACATGCATTTGGTAATATAAGTAACACTAAAATTTAGTTTATCTACTAGTATTTTATTTCAATTCATTTAAGTCACATGATGACATTTTGGTGCAGATCCTTTTGTTTGGTATTTATTGACAGATGAGCCCAAAGGAACATTTTAAAATAAGTGCTGAGTTATTCAAACCACTACCAAGTCCTGCCCCCACGTCATACAGAGCAAATGCCACTTATACATAACCACCATTTCGTACCCATGCACTTATCTAAATCCATTTTAAGCACCAGCTGCCCACAGTTTCAACAATTTATATTGTTTAAAACTAAACATGCCATTCCCATATTACAATAATAAGCCAGACATTTGTAAAGTGTACTTCAGTCCATTTAGTCGATGACTTTGGGGTGTGCATAGCAGCACAGTCGCAGTGCAAACAATGCATGACGGCAACAGACTCATAGTCCAAGTGTGCTGCATGTATGATACATGGAACAAGAAAATATTACACTTGATTTTAGATAAAAAATAATGAATCATCCCTTTAGAAGCATACTGTCTGATTTGAATATAAGTGGGGAGGGGGGTCCTTTGTGTTGAGAGCTGAGAATATTCAGAAATCCTTCAAGGCTACAGCTCCAAACACCAAGGCCCAGTTGTGGTGGTGGTTGTTAAACCGTACAGCCTGATTTCAAAACTTCAATCTTTATAATTTTGGACAGTTTAATGCATAAGACAAGTTTTTGTTTATTTTGACCCATATAATAATTTATTAGCTTTGGAAATGCTAAAAATGCTGCTGCCAGAGTTTTAATGAGAGTTTATAGGAGAGCTCATATTTATCCAGTTTTAGCTTCTCTCCATTGGCTCCCTGTCAAATCCAGAATTGAATTCAAAATCTTACTTCTAACCTACAAAGCTCTCAACAACCTGGCTCCATCTTATATTACAGATCTTATTGTTCCATATTTTCCTAACAGAGCACTTCGCTCTCAGACGGCAGGTTTACTTGTGGTTCCTAGAATTTACAAAAACAGAATGGGAAGAAGATCTTTGAGTTATCAGGCTCCTCTCTTGTGGAACCAACTTCCAGTTTCTGTCCATAAGGCTGACACAGTGTCTACTTTTAAGATTAAACTTGTCTTTCTTTTTTGATAAACCCTATAGTTAGGGGTGGTTTGGGTTTCCTGAGTTATGCTGCTATAGGCTTACACTGCTGAAGGCCAAAATGACCACATTTCTTCACTCTGCTACTGTCTTTACTTACTCTGCTCAACCTGTTTTGTATTTGTAATTATTTTTTCTATCCTTAACATGTTTTTTTGTCTTTCAGATACACCTGGACCTCTACCTGGACCTACCATTCTGTGTTCGTCTGTCTCCTTCCTGTCCTCTCAACCAGCCGGTCAAAGCAGATGGCCGCTTGTCCTGAGCCTGGTTCTGCTGGAGGTTTCTTCCTTTTAAAAGGGAGTTTTTCCTTTCCACTGTTGCCACTGTGCTTGCTCAGGATGGGAGACTGCAACGAAGCCAAGATTCATTTTGTCTGCTGGATTCCTTAGATAGAGAACTTTACTAATTGGCTTTTATGTATGTGAATGTTCCTGTAAAGTGCCCTGAGACAACTTTGTTGTGATTTGGCGCTATATAAATAAACTGAATTGAAATGAATTGGAAAAAGAAAAACTGAATGAAGTTTTAATCAAATGCTTACAGTAGGGTGTGTGATGGTTCATTAAAGTAAAAATACAGTGTGCCACACCTTTAAGACACCTTCCTAAACATAAATTAAAAGCTTGTCATCCCCCCTACACTGAATGTTGATCTCTACAAGTGAACATAACAGAGTGTGTTGTGACTGAGGATGTAGTCGGGCTGCCCACAGATCAATCAGTTCACTTTATACAAACCATTTAAGCCAACAATTAATCAGTGGTGAAGTACTCAAACTCTGTACTTAAGTAAATGTACAAATAAACAGACAAAAATGTACTCTAGTAAAAGTAGAATTACCACATTAACATTTTTACTTAAGTAAAAGTAATCAAGTACTTGCTTTAAAAAATACTTAAAGTATTAAAAACAAAAGTACTTGCTGAATGTATTACATAATGCAATGGTCTACATTAAGTGTACCTACCGTATGTATATTTTCTGTAATACATTAATAGTGTTGAGTCATTTTAATGAACAATGCTGCAGATAATACATGTTTTTATTGTGTTTACTCTGTGACACATTTCACTACTGGACTTGTGATTCTGTGCGTCAGAATTTCAGGGATGACCTGCAGAGTTAAATAACATTAAGCAAAATAAGAAAGGAATGATTATACCTTTGATAGTTTTTATTTGACAGCAGTAAACACATTTAAGTGAAAGTTGTCTGCCTGAGCAAAAGGGGCATTAGACACAACTCACAAAGAAATAGACACTGATCAGTTCAACTCCTGTTTGTCATCAACTCTAGTTAAAATACTTTCTAGTCAACCTTGTGATGGGTCAATAGTGAACAATAGTTTAACTTCCTGACACCATTTTCAAAACTTGGACCTGAGTGTCGAGACATTTGGAGACGTCTCTTGTCTCCTAACATCATGAACTGACACATTTTAATATTGCAGCAAGAATTTCTTGTTCAAGTTCAGAAGAAGTTGTTTTCAAAGTGTTTTTGAGTCCAATCTGGCTCTTTTGGGAGAAAATCTGTCCTGCTGTACTGAACAGTCTTTCAATAGTCTTTCAATAGTCTTTCAATAGTCTTTCAATAGTCTTTCAATAATCTTTCAGTAAGGCCATGGGTGGAGCGTATCTTCTGGCTGACTCTCTGCGGTAGAATCCATTTTGGGTGTGTTAGTGGTGCTATGGGTGTGCCCAGCTCAATGACTTCTTCTTGAAGGCAAGTCTAACGTTACCTGACCACTTTGCAGTGATTCAATGGACCAGCTCCCCTCTCACCATTGGTTACTTTCAAATTACCAGTAACAAACAAATCAAAAAGCTGCAACGTGAATGTAACTTGTAACTCAACGCATTATAGAAATGTAGTAGAAAGTACAGATACTTCATGTAAAATGTAGTGGAGTAAAAGTCGAAAATACCCACGTTTAACTCTACTTCAGTAAAGTACAGATACATGAAAAATGTACTTAAGTACAGTAATGAAGTACTTGTACTTAGTTACATCCCACCACTGCAATTAATCAGCCTAAAAAAAAAACACAAATCTGATCAGTTCTGCAAAATACAGTTTTGAGTATTACAAATTTATAGTAACTATAAGTTGAATACATTCTGTTGATTCTGCAGGTTCTGTTCCCGTGCTGCAGT